TGATCATATTATTTATTTTATAATATGTAATATGATTTCAAACTAAATAATGTTGTATTTTGGTATAAAATTGAATAAACTGAAAACCAATATATAAACCAAATCAAACTGAAGTAAATATGGATTTAGAATAGTAGTTATATTTTAATAACCAAAATACGGAAACCCGATATCCAGATTGAACATTCTTAATCTAGATGAAACCGAACTTTTGTTTCATTTTTCAAAACATAATAAAAATAATAATTTCATCCCGCGCAAGGCGCGGGTCTTATCCTAGTTTAGAAGGTATCATATAAAACGGATGTTAAAAATATAGCTACATAATATTTTTGTTAGCATCCTTTTTTATTGATGTGAGATATGTATCAATTTTATAAATGATGTTAACTAAAATAAATAAATGCATCAGTTATATAATTGATTTAAATGTATATAATTATATCAATTCTGTTAAAGGGAAATTGCCAAAACTAACCTAAAATTTCATTTCAACCCTAAAGGTGTACCCCTTATTAGGTCAAATGCAAAACCAACCTAAAGGGGTTGTGAAGTTACTACTTAACCCTTGTGACCAAACAAAAAAACAGATAGTTATATTACGGTTCTGTCCTTTGAAAGTCTACATGTTATAGAGAGAAGTCTACACATTTGTAGACCTCCTTAGAAGTCTACTTTGTAGACGTATTCTATAGTCTACATCGTCAGTTGATCTTATAATTTAATTTTAAAAATGTATAAAAATAATTTTTGGGAAGTTTTAAAATAAATCATCAATATAAAGATTAGTATGAAATATATAAATTAAAATTTCATATAAGTGAAAAATTTAATAGGATTTATATTGAATTGGTAACCATGTGAAAGATAATGTGTTATAGTTTCCCAACAAAATGTTATAACATGCTATGTCTTTTAGGGTTAGATTCATATATTAGGGTTAGATATTTGATTTTAATTTTTTTTTGTTTTTTTGACACACTAATGTTGAGAAGTTTATATTTTCTATATTAAGATATTTACTATAATAATTAAGACATTTTTGATTATCAAATAAACATTTAGGGTATCAGATTTGTGGTTTAGGGTTATAGTAGACTTACAATAAAGTCTACTTACATTTAGGATTTGTTCAAACAATAAAGCAAAAAAAAAAAAAACGGAGTTGTAGACTTATAGAAAAGTCTACACACTGATACCAAATTAACCTAACCGGATTTAACCAAGTTCGATTTTTAACTTAACCGAATTTAACCAAACCAATTTAATCTAACCGAAAAAATTAGACAGCGTATAAATACGTTTTTAGGGTTTTCTGATAAAAAAAAACCTAATCACGCTGTTTAGATCTGAGGTGATTTAGGGGGCGATTTCCGGTGAGATTTCCGGCGAACCCTCTTCAACTCCGTTTTCACCGCTTAAACTCGACGCCGTCGCTCCGTATCGTGTCTCTGGTAAGTTTATTATGTTCGGTTTCTTCGTCTAATGAACTTAAGGTTTTTGATTAATTTGTTATAGAAAATATTCATTAATATGTTATGATGGCTGTTGTTTCAGGAGACTATTGAGTTAAGGTTTCGTTGTTTCGTTAGGAGAATGGAGGACATTGACAACATAGAGGAAGATGAGTATGGGTTCTCAAAAAATTATTTTCTGGCTAAAGAGTTGGGTGGGTCAAGCAAGAAGTCAGCGCATAAGCTCTCTGATATTAATATTATTGATGAACAGGTGGGTGTTGTCTTTCGAAATATATGTTTGATGTGAAATTTTGCTTTCCTTTGACAAGTTGATTGTGTCTCAGGAGCTTCGAGAAACTGCGTTTAATATTGAAACGAAGCATGAGAAAGAGATTTTTGAGCTTTTGGATGATTACAAGACTATGTTACAAGAGATTTTTGAGCTTTTGGTCACTCCTGTTATTTTACCTTCTCATCTGGAAGTTAGACTTCAATGTTCCATCAGAGTAACCATGCCTTTGTGTGTTGTCATTTCATTTTTGCTGATTCCAGGTGTGGCTTTGGGCTTCTAATGTACGGCTTTGGATCTAAAAAAAGGTTTGATTGAAGACTTTACTTCTTCTTCTTTGACTGAGTATTCTGTTGTTGTCATCAACGGCTACCTTCCTTTAATAAATCTAAAACAGGTACTCTTTACTGGGTACTATTTATTTAGAATACTACAAAGATCCCTGTACTGGGTCATGCTGGTACGGTTTCATCTTTGTTTTTTTCCATATAATTGTATAGAAGGATTGTGCTAGATGAATGATGATGACTTTTATTGTGTACTTGTAGATGGAATCTGTCATGTATACATTGACAACGCTTGTAATCTGGATACTGCCATGGTAAAGATAACTATACCCTCCTTATAGTTTCAGTAATGCAATGGACTTTCTCATCTCATATTCTCTTTACTGCTTCTTTTCAGGAAACCTTTCTAGTGCATAAGGATCTAGAGCAGAATGCTGTGTTCAATGAGCTTATCTTCGCTCTCCAGAGCAATGGTAAGTCATAAATGGGTCCATTTAGATGTTTCATATACATGTACATAGCTTCAATATTAATGACTCATGAAACTGCAGGAGTCACTTTGTATGGTGGACAAGGGCAAGTGCAATACTGAACATACCAGAAGCACGGACGTTCAAGCATGAGTACTGTTCAAAGTCTTGCACCGTTGAAGTTGTAGATGATGTCTATGGTGCTATAGATCACATTCACAGACATGGAAGGTTAAAAACTCCACATAACAAACATTGACGTTTGTAAAATTCTGCATTCTTGTGCTGGAAAATGCTCACTTGTAATCTTGTTATGTACGCAGTGCACACACAGACTGCATTGTGACAGAAGATCCAGAAGTTGCAGAACTTTTCCTTCGCCAAGTAGATAGGTAAAAAAAAGATAACAAGATCACACAAACTTGCTTAATCATCCAGACTTTGATTGTGTTGGTAACTACTTGGACAGTGCTGTTGTGTTTCACAACGCAAGCACAAGATTCTCTGATGGTTTTCGATTTGGACTTGGTGCTGAGGTGGGAATAAGCACATGCAGGATCCATGCCCGTGGTCCTGTTGGAGTTGAAGGATTGCTTACAACAATATGGTACAGTTTTGGTTTCATTTGAACTTTTATTTTTAAATTGTTTATAGTCCTGAGATGATGTTTCATGNCGATTTGGACTTGGTGCTGAGGTGGGAATAAGCACATGCAGGATCCATGCCCGTGGTCCTGTTGGAGTTGAAGGATTGCTTACAACAATATGGTACAGTTTTGGTTTCATTTGAACTTTTATTTTTAAATTGTTTATAGTCCTGAGATGATGTTTCATGTACTCATTGCAGTGTGGGACAAGAAAATGGTGCACAAACAGTTTAACTGGCTATGGCACCACGTTCCAACATTTGCACCATACAAGGTCGAAGGTGTCTTCCTCCCACTGGTTCTTGCACAGGGAAGCACAGCTCAAACCGCTAAAACAGCAGCCATTGTCTTACAGAGTCTAACACCAAACGCTCAGAACGTGTTCAAGATTCTCGCTGACTACCAACTTTCTCACCCAGATGAAGACGGCATGTCCACTGAAGAACTGTATTCAGCCTCACGTGAATGCTTCTTTGTGAGCAGGCAAGTGACTCAACTCTCATCTCACGGAGTTTAAAGATCACGAACTAGTTAAGACCAAGAGAAACTCCGATGGACAAGAGTGTTTGAACATACCTGTCTCCGGATGCACTAAAACAGCTCTTGCTTGATCTCAATCAGTAGCCTCACTTGTATAAATTCTCTGTGGTATGATTCAACTTTGTTGCTTGAACAATATCTTATCTTATAGTCTAAGTAAGTATAATGGGTAACACATTGGATGGAAAGTTATAATCAGCACTCAAACACACGTACTTAGTGTTGTCCACTGACACAAGATTGCAATGTAGTGAATAATATCATTTAAACAGTGAAAAACGTCTATATATATCAAATGGCCAACAACAATAAGGTACGATGACAACTCCTATAAGCTTTCTACAAACGAGAACACTGTAACAGAAAATTACAACTCCTATAAGCTTTCTACAAACGAGAACACTGTAACAGAAAATTATACTGTAGACTTACCATTACGTCTACGATTATTAGCTAACAACATAGACAAACAAAATTTTTGATAACTTCCTAATTATAACAGATTATCTTCTGAAAATCATTCAAGACTCTTATGATTAACTAACACACACTTTCATAAAAAAAAAAATTAACGTAGACTTACAAGTACGTCTACAAATTTTAAGCTAACAACATAGACAAACAAAAAATTTGATAACTTCCTAATTATAACAGATTATCTTCTGAAAATCATTCAAGACACTTATGATTAACTAACACACACTTTCATAAAAAAAGTTTTGAAAAAACTTAATGAATAATACACAAATCCACTTTTGATAGATTTTACATGGTAGACTACATATTCAGTCTACAGACGTGTAGACGTTTTCTTCAGTTTACAGGTTGTAGACTGAACATTAGGTCTACGTTTAGGTTGGTTTCTGCAATTGCCAAATTCACGGGTTACTTTCTGTATTTGCAAAAAAATGTGATTTTATACGAGTAGACTTACTTTCTAGTCTACATTTCTTAAAAGGTTAGTTTTGCAATTGACCAGAATTCGATCAGAGTTTGACTTTTAGAAGTAGACCTATTATGCAGTCTACATTTTTAAATTTGTTTGAAAGAGGTTAGTTTTGCAATTGATCAAAGTTTACTTTCTACGAGTAGACAAAACTAAATGTCTACGTAACTGTAGACTGCAGTAAAAGTCTACATTATAACCCGATAGGTTAGTTTTGCAATTGACCAACATAAAATAGTAGACTTCTTATGCAGTCTACTTTTTTTTTCTAAGTTTTGTAGACTGCATATGAAGTCTACACGTAAAGTAAGTTTTAGTCAGCTTCTAAATATTTTAGTCAAATACAAAAGAAACTTATTCAACGAAGTCAAAGTTTTGGTCAAATGCAAAACTGACCTTCCGTAGACTTACCTAGCAGTCTACAAAGTGTAGACCTCCACGAAAGTCTACTATGGTAAGTCAAAATTTTGGTCAAATGCAAATCTAACCTGTTTTATGTAGATTTCTTAGTAAGTCTACCAATTTTTTTGTTTTTGGTTTCAAAGGTAAAGATG